GGATTTTTGGGGTTTCTGGGGGGTTGGGGTGGGGTTTGGGGGGGATGTGGGGGGTTTTAGGTGGGGGTTTTGGAGTTTCTGGGGGTTTTGGGTGGGATTTGGGGGTTTTGGGGGGTTTGGGTGGGATTTGGGGAGGTTTCGGGGATCGGGATGGGGTGTGGGGAGTTTTGGGTGGGATTATAGGAGGTTTTGGGGAGGTTTGGCTGGGATTTGGGGGTTTTGAGGAGGTTTTGGGTGGGATTTTTGGAGTTTCTGGGGGTTTTGGGTGGGATTTTGGGAGTTTTGGGTGGGTTTTGGGAGGTTTTGGGTGGATTTGGAGAGGTTTGGGTGGGATATGGGGAGGTTTTGGGTGGGGTTTTGGGGGATTTAGGGAGGTTTGGGGTGAGATTTGAGGAGGTTTTGGGGTTTGGGTGGGGTTTTGGGGGGTTTTGGTGTTTGGGGTGGGGTTTGGGGAGGTTTGCGTGGGATTTGGTGAGGTTTTGAATGGTTTTGGGGAGGATTTGGGGTCGTTTTTTGTGGCTTTTGTCCGATTTTGGGGGTTTTGGGTGCATTTTTTGTCTGGGGTGTCCCCAGGTGCTGATCGGGGACGAGCCCGAGGCCGGCATGGAGAACCTGCTGGAGGTGACAATTCCCCCCGAGCTGGAGCGGCGCCTCGGGGACAGCGACGGGGACGAGGGGACGGAGACACGGACAGGGACAACGTGACACCGGCACGGCGCCGCGGGGACAGCGGGGACAGCCACCAAGGAGCCATCAAAGGACACTGTGTCCCCAAGGGTCACCATGGTGACAGTGAGATGTCCCCAGGGAGCCGGTAAAGGATCCCAAGGGTCACTGTGGTGACAATGAAATGTCCCCAAAAGTCATTGTGGTGACAGTGAGGTGTCCCCAAGGGGGCATTGAAGGACAACATGTCCCCAAGGGTCACCGTGGTGACAATGAGATGTCCCCAAGGGTGGCCATGGTGGTGGCTGTGTGTCCCCAAGGGTCACTGTGGTGACAATGAAATGTCCCCAAAAGTCACTGTGGTGACAGTGAGGTGTCCCCAAGGGCCACCATGGTGACAATGAAATGTCCCCAAGGGTCATTGTGGTGACACTGTGGTGTCCCCAAGGAGCCATTAAAGGACACTGTGTCCCCAAGGGTGACCACGGTGACAATGAAATGTCCCCAAGGGTCACTGTGGTGTCATTTGTGTCCCCAAGGGTCACCATGGTGACAATGGAACACCCCCAGAGGTCACCGTGGTGACAGTGAGGTGTCCCCAAGGGTGGCCATGGTGGTGGCAGTGTCCCCAAGGGTCACTGTGGTGTCATTTGTGTCCCCAAGGAGCCATTAAAAGACAGTGTGTCCCCAAGGGTCACCGTGGTGACAATGAAATGTCCCCAAGGGTCACCGTGGTGACACTGTGGTGTCCCCAAGGAGCCATCAAAGGACACTGTGTCCCTGAGGGTCACTGTGGTGGCAGTTGTGTCCCCAGGGGTCATTGTGGTGACAGTGAGATGTCCCAAGGAGCCATTAAAGGACAATGTGTCCCCAAGGGTCACTGTGGTGGCACTGTGGTGTCCCCTAAAGGACAACGTGTCCCCAGGGGTCACCACGGTGACAGTGTGGTGTCCCCAAGGGTCATCACAAGGACACTGTGTCTCCAAGGGCCACCACGGTGACAATGAGATGTCCCCAAGGGCCACCATGGTGACAATGTGTCCCCAGGAGCCACCACAGGACACTGTGTCCCCAAGGGTCACCACGGTGACAGTGAGGTGTCCCCAAGGAGGCATTGAAGGACAACATGTCCCCAAGGGTCACCGTGGTGACAATGAGATGTCCCCAAGGGTGGCCATGGTGGTGGCTGTGTGTCCCCAAGGGTCGTCACAAGGACACTGTGTCCCCAAGGGTCACCACGGTGACAGTGAGGTGTCCCCAAGGAGGCATTGAAGGACACCGTGTCCCCAGGGGTCACCGTGGTGACCCTGTGGTGTCCCCAAGGGTCACGGTGGTGGCAGTGTGTCCCCAGGGGTCACTGGTGACAATGCAAGGGTCACTGTGGTGACAATGAAATGTCCCCAAGGGTCACCGCAAGGACAATGCAATAACCCCAAGGGTCACCGTGGTGACAGTGTGGTGTCCCCAAGGGTCACCATGGTGACAATGAAATGTCCCCAAAAGTCACCATGGTGACAGTGAGATGTCCCCAAGGGCCACCATGGTGACAATGGAACACCCCCAAGGGTCACTGTGGTGACAGTGAGGTGTCCCCAAGGAGCCATCAAAGGACACTGTGTCTCCAAGGGCCACCACGGTGACAATGAGATGTCCCCAAAGGTGGCCATGGTGGTGGCTGTGTGTCTCCAAGGGTCACCACGGTGACAAAGCGGTGTCCCCAAGGAGCCACCGCAGGACACTGTGGACCCCAGGGGTCACGGTGGTGGCAGTGCTCTGTGCCCAAGGAGCCACCACAAGGACAGGGGGCACCGTGGGGACACTGTGGTGTCCCCAGAGTGTCCCCGAGGTGACAGAGATGTCCCCAAGGGCTCCGTGGTGGCCCTGAGGTGTCCCCAAGGAGCCACCACAGGACACTGTGGTGTCCCCAAGGGTCACGGTGGTGGCAGTTGTGTCCCCAAGGGTCACTGGTGACAGCGAGATGTCCCCAAGGAGCCATTGAAGGATCCCAAGGGTCACTGTGGTGACAGCAAGATGTCCCCAAGGAGCCACCACAGGACAACATCTTGGGGACATTTGGGGGGGATTTTGGGGACATTTTTTGGGATTTGGGGACATTTGGGAGGGATTTTGGGGACATTTTTTGGGACTTGGGGACATTTGGGGACCCCGGGGCCGTTTCCCTCCCTCCCCGCCAGGGGGCGCCAGCAGCGCGCTGCTCTCAGGCCCCGCCCCTTCCCCGCTCAGCCAATCAGCGCTCAGGGGGGGCGTGGCCTGAGGGATTACCAGCCGTGCCTCGGAGGGGGCGTGGCCTGGAGGGGGCGTGGCCGCCGCACCCGGAAGCGGCGCCGGGCGCGTCGCGGTGAGCGCGGGGCCGGGGGGGGCGGCGGAATTTGGGGAAAATCGGGAAAATTGGGGCGAAATTCGGGAACTTTTGGGATGCAGGAGCGGGAGGACGCGGAGGGGGGAATTCCCGGGAAACTCCGCGGCCCGGGCGGGACCTCCCCCCCCCCCAGGGACCTCCCTGCGCCTCCTGTTCCCATTCCCGGAGGGAAAATCCCAAAATTTGGGACGGGGAGGGATTTTAGGAGCGAGACCCCCCCAGGACGGGGATTTGTAGCATCGGGGACCCCCCGGGAACGGGAATTTTTTAGGCTCGGGACCCCCCGGCTCGGGACCCCCGGGGGGGGATCGCGCCCCAAATTCCCCGGGAATCTTTTCCCAAAAATTCCCGCGGGAATCTCATCCCAAAAATTCCCCGGGAAAGGCCGGGAATGTCCTCGGACAAGGGCAGGGACTGCTCCTGGAAAAGTCTGGAATGTCAGCCCCGGGATGGGATTTTTTCCCCTGAAAATTCCCTTTTTTTAAATAATTTTTTTCCCTATTTTTCCCCCCAAATCCCAGATTTTCCTTCCCGGTTTTTTTCCATGGCCTGGAAAAAATTCCCTCCCTCCAATCCCGGATTTTAGGGCCAAATATTTGGGACAAGGCCCTGGAGTGGGGCTGGGGATTAGTGGGACACCAGAATTCCAGAGGGGAGAAAAAATCGGATTGGGATTCCAGAAAAAAAAAATTGGGATTGGAATTCCAGAGGGGAAAAAAAAAATAAATTAAAAAATAAATTAAAAACCCAAAATGGAATTCCAGAGGGGTGGGGGAAATCTGGGATTGGGATTCCAGGGAAAAAAAAAAAAAAAGGATTGGGATTCTGAAAAAAAAAGGAGAAAAAAAATTGGGATTGGAGTTCCAGAGGGGAAAAAAAATTAAAAAAAAAAAAAATTCCAAACAAACTGGAATTCCAGAGGGGGAAAAAAAATCTGGAATTGGGATTTCAGGTGGGAAACAATTCTGGGGTTGGAACTCCAGAGGGGAAAAAAAATTAAAAAAAAAAAAAATTCCAAACAAACTGGAATTCCAGAGGGGGAAAAAAAATCTGGAATTGGGATTTCAGGTGGGAAACAATTCTGGGGTTGGAACTCCAGAGGGGAAAAAAAATTAAAAAAAAAAAAAATTCCAAACAAACTGGAATTCCAGAGGGGGAAAAAAAATCTGGAATTGGGATTTCAGGTGGGAAACAATTCTGGGGTTGGAACTCCAGAGGGGAAAAAAAATTAAAAAAAAAAAAAATTCCAAACAAACTGGAATTCCAGAGGGGGAAAAAAAATCTGGAATTGGGATTTCAGGTGGGAAACAATTCTGGGGTTGGAACTCCAGAGGGGAAAAAAAATTAAAAAAAAAACAAAAGAAAACAGAAAAAAAACCCCAAACAAACAAACAAAAAAAAAACACCCACAAAAAAACCCCACAAACAAAAAAACCCAAAAAACAAAAACCAAAAAACAAACAAAAAAAAAACACCCACAAAAAAACCCCACAAACAAAAAAACCCAAAAAAACCAAACAAAAGAATTTCCAAACGAATTGGAATTCCAGAGGGGGAAAAAAAATCTGGAATTGGGATTTCAGGTGGGAAACAATTCTGGGGTTGGAACTCCAGAGGGGAAAAAAAATTAAAAAAAAACCAAGAGAAAACAGAAAAAAAACCCCAAACAAACAAACAAAAAAACCCCCAAAAAAACCAAACAAAAGAATTTCCAAACGAATTGGAATTCCAGAGGGGGAAAAAAAATCTGGAATTGGGATTTCAGGTGGGAAACAATTCTGGGGTTGGAACTCCAGAGGGGAAAAAAAATTAAAAAAAAACCAAGAGAAAACAGAAAAAAAACCCCAAACAAACAAACACAAAAAACCCAAAAAAACCAAACAAAAAAATTTCCAAACGAATTGGAATTCCAGAGGGGGGGGAAATCTGGGATTGGGATTCCAGGAAAAACTGGGATTGGGATTAAAAATCAATCTGGAATTGGGATTTGTGGTGGGAAACAATTCTGGGATTGGAATTGCAGAGGGGAAAAAAATCAGGATTGGAATTCCAGGGAAATCTGGGACTGGGACTCCAGAGGGGAAAAAAAACCCAAAAAAACCCAAAAAACCCAAATTCCAAAGAAGTTGGAATTCCAGAGGGCGGAAAAATCTGGGATTGGGATTCCAGGAAAAACTGGGATTGGAATTCCAGGAAAAACTGGGATTGGGATTCCAGAGAGGGAGCAAAAAAACCAATAAAAAACCCAATTCCAAACACATTCGGACTCCAGAGGGGGGGAAAAATCGGGATTGGAATTCCAGAAAAAACTGGGAGTGGGACTCCAGAGGGAAAAAAAAACCAAAACAAAAAACAAAAACAAAACAAACAAACAAAAAAAAAACCAAACAAAAAAAAAAAAACCCACAAAAAAAACCCCAAAAACAAAACAACAAAAAAAAAAAACCCAAAAACCCCAAAAAAACCCAAACAAAAAATCCCAAAAGAAGTTGGAATTCCAGAGGAGGGAAAAATGGAAAAGGGATTCCAGGAAAAACTGGGATTGGAATTCCAGAGAGGAAAAAATCAGGATTGGAATTCCAGAAAAAAAAAAATGGGATTGGGATTCTGGGGGTGGGGGGAGAGAAATTTGGGACTGGAATTGCAGAGGGGACAAAGAAAACAATTTAAAAATAACCAATTCCAAATAAATTGGGATTCCAGGGAAAAAAAAAATAAAACCAATTCCAAACAAACTGGAATTCCAGAGGGGGGAAAAAATCTGGGATTGGGATTTCAGAAAAATCTGGGATTTGATTCCAGAGGGGGAAAAAAATCTCAAATTCCAGAGGAGGGGGAAAAAATCCTGGATATTCCAGAGGGGAAAAAAATTGAGGATTGGAATTCCATAAAAAACTGGGATTGGGATTCCAGAGGGGGGAAAATAAGTGGGGTTCGGATTCCAGTGGGGGGAAAAAAGAAATTTGGGATTGGAATTTCAGAGGGGAAAAAAATCTGGGATTGGAATTCCAGAGTGGGATTAAAAAACTTGGATATTCCAGAGGGGAAAAAGATCTGGCATTCCAGAAGGGAAAAAAACTGGGATTGGGATTCCAGAGGGGAAAATAATTCTGGGACTGGAATTTCAGTAAAACCTGGGATTGGGATTCCGGAGTGGGGAGGAAAAATCCCCCGGGATTGGAATTGCAGAGGGAGGAAGATCCGGGATTGGGATTTCTGGGGATTTTGGGGGATTTCAGGGGATTTCAGAGCTTTTTCCCTTTTCAGGAGCCTCGGGGGGAGGAGGAGGAGGAGGAGGAATCCCGGGATGAGGCCGGATCCCATGGAAGCTTCCGGAATTCCGGGGATTTTCCTGGACTGGCTGCGCCCGGAATTCCCGGCGGGATCGGGGGCTCGGGCCTGAACTCCCAGAGGGAGCAGAGAATTCCTGAGAATTCCCACCTGGAGCAGAGAATTCCAGAGAATTCCCACCTGGATCAAAGAATTCCCACCTGGAACCAGAGAATTCCCACCTGGAGCAGAGAATTCCCTCCAGGATCACAGAATTCCCTCCGGGATCAGAGAATTCCCACCTGGAACCAGAGAATTGCTGTCAAATCCACCTGGAACCAGAGAATTCCCACAGAATTCCCACCAGGATAAGAGAACTCCCATTAATTCCCGCCTGGAACCACCAAATTCCCACCTGGAGCAGGGAATTCCCACTGAATTCCCACCTGGATCACAGAATTCCCATTAATTCCCACCTGGAGCAGAGAATTCCCACCTGGAGCAGAGAATTCCTGTTAAATCCACCTGGAGCAGGGAATTCCCACTGAATTCCCACCTGGATCACAGAGAATTCCCTCCGGGATCACAGAATTCCCGCTTGGAATCAGAGAATTCCCGTTAATTCCCACCTGGCTCCGAGCATTCCCACCTGGATCACAGAATTCCCGTTAATTTCCAACTGGATCAGAGAATTCCTGTTAAATTCACCTGGAACCAGAGAATTCCCACCGAATTCCCACCTGGATCACAGAGTTCCTGCTGGGATCAGAGAATTCCCGTTAATTCCCACCTGGCTCCGAGCATTCCCAGTCCATTCCTGGTGTCCGGAATCGTTCCTGGTCTCCGTTCCCGTGGCTCCGAGCATTCCCGGTCTCCGGAATTGCGAACCAGAGAATTCCCACCGAATTCCCACCTGGATCACAGAGTTCCTGCTGGGATCAGAGAATTCCCGCCTGGAACCAGAGAATTCCCATTAATTCCCACCTGGATCAGACAATTCCCTCTGGGATCAGAGAATTCCCACTTGGAATCAGAGAACTCGTGTTAAATCCACCTGGAATCAGAGAATCCCCACCAAATTCCCACCTGGATCAGAGAATTCCCACTTGGAACCAGAGAATTCCCACTGAATTCCCACCTGGATCACAGAATTCCCATTGGGATCGGAGAATTCCCACCTGGATCAGAGAATTCCTGTTCAGTCCACCTGGAACCAGAGAATTCCCACTGAATTCCCACCTGGAAGCACCGAATTCCCGTGAATTCCCGCCTGGCTCCGAGCATTCCCAGTCCATTCCCGGTCTCTGGAATCGTTCCGGGTGTCCGTTCCCGTGGCTCCGAGCGTTCCCGGTCTCCGGAATCGTGCCCGTGGCTCCGAGCGTTCCCGGTGTCCGGCGTCGTGCCCGTGGCGCTCTCCGGGGCGGCTCTGTGCCCGGGGGTCCCGCTGGGGCTCCCGGGGCCGTGGGATCAGAGAATTCCCACTTGGAATCAGAGAACTCGTGTTAAATCCACCTGGAATCAGAGAATCCCCACCAAATTCCCACCTGGATCAGAGAATTCCCACTTGGAACCAGAGAATTCCCACTGAATTCCCACCTGGATCACAGAATTCCCATTGGGATCGGAGAATTCCCACCTGGATCAGACAATTCCCGCTGGGATCAGAGAATTCCCGCCTGGAACCAGAGAATTCCTGTTAAATCCACCTGGAACCAGAGAATTCCCACTGAATTCCCACCTGGAACCAGAGAATTCCCACTGAATTCCCACTGGGATCAGAGAATTCCCGTTAATTCCCACCTGGATCAGAGAATTCCTGTTCAGTCCACCTGGAACCAGAGAATTCCCACTGAATTCCCACCTGGAAGCACCGAATTCCCGTGAATTCCCGCCTGGCTCCGAGCATTCCCAGTCCATTCCCGGTCTCTGGAATATTCCCGCCTGGCTCCGAGCATTCCCAGTCCATTCCTGGTGTCCGGAATCGTTCCTGGTCTCCGTTCCCGTGGCTCCGAGCATTCCCGGTCTCCGGAATTGCTCCCGTGGCTCCGAGCGTTCCCGGTGTCCGTGCCCGTGGCTCCGAGCGTTCCCGGTGTCCGTGCCCGTGGCGCTCTCCGGGGCGGCTCCGTGCCCGGGGGTCCCGCTGGGGCTCCCGGGGCCGTGCCCGGGCTCGCTGCGCTCGCGCGCCATGATGGAGAGCCGCCTGCGCCGTGAGTGCCACCCCGGCATTCCCGACTTTCCAGCCCCTCTTCACGGGAAAACTGGGAATTCCCACAGCTCCGGCCTGGTATTCCAGCAGGGATTGGGAATTCCCACAGGAAAACTGGGAATTCCCACAGTTCCGGCCTGGTATTCCAGCAGGGATTGGGAATTCCCACATTTACAGCTTGGTATTCCCACAGGAAAACTGGGAATTCCACAGTTCCAGCCTGGTATTCCCACAGGAGCCTGGCTCCGAGCATTCCCAGTCCATTCCCGGTCTCTGGAATCGTTCCGGGTGTCCGTTCCCGTGGCTCCGAGCGTTCCCGGTGTCCGGTGTCGTGCCCGTGGCTCCGAGCGTTCCCGGTGTCCGGCATTGTTCCCGTGGCTCCGAGCGTTCCTGGTGTCTGGAATCGTTCCGGGTCTCCGTTCCCGTGGCTCCGACCATTCCCGGTCAATTCCCACAGTTCCAACCTGGTATTCCAGCAGGAAAACTGGGAATTCCCACAGTTGCGGCCTGGTATTCCCACAGGAAAACTGGGAATTCCCACAGTTCTGGCCTGCTATTCCAGCAGGGATTGGGAATTCCCACCTTTACAGCCTGGTATTCCCACAGGAAAACTGGGAATTCCACAGTTGCGGCCTGGTATTCCAGCAGGGATTGGGAATTCCCACATTTACGGCCTGCTATTCCCACAGAATTGGGAATTCTGGCCACTTTTCCCAAATTTCCAGCCCATTTTCCCAAAAGGCATTGGGAATTCCCACAGTTCCAGGCTGGTTTTCCAAAAGGCATTGAGAATTCCCAACTTTCCAGCCCCAGGTTTCCCACAGAATTGGGATTTCTGGCCAATTTCCCTGAATTTCCAGCCCAGTTTTCCCAAATTTCCAGCCTGGTTTTCCAATAGGGATTGGGAATTCCCACATTTCCAGCCCCGGTTTTCCGATGAAAATTGGGAATTGTGGCCACTTTTCCCAAATTTCCATCTCATTTTTCCAACAGGGGTTGGGAATTCCCACATTTCCAGCCTGGGTTTCCCACAGAATTGGGATTTCTGGCCAATTTTCCTGGATTTCCAGCCCAGTTTTCCCAAATTTCCAGTCCTGGTTTTCCAACAGGGGTTGGGAATTCCCACATTTCCAGCCTGGGTTTCCCACAGAATTGGGATTTCTGGCCAATTTTCCTGGATTTCCAGCCCAGTTTTCCCAAATTTCCAGTCCTGGTTTTCCAACAGGGGTTGGGAATTGCCAAATGTCTTGCTCAGTTTTACCGTGAAAATTGGGAATTCCGGCCACTTGTCCCAGATTTCCAGCCCGCTTTTCCCGTGGGAAAATTGAGGAAAAATGGGGGGAAAAGGGGGAGAAAAAGGGAAACAATGAGAAAAGAAAGTTTCGGGAAAAATAGGAAAAAATGGGCAAAAAGGTTGGGAAGAAGGGAAGAAGATGGGAAAAAAGGGGAAAAGTGGGGAAAGAGAAACAATGGGAAAAAAACTGGGGGAAAAAGGGGGGAAACATGGAAAAAGGGGGCAAAGATTGGGGGAAAAGAGGAAAAAGGGAGGGAAGGGGAAATTGGGGGAAAAGGAGGGAAAATTGGGAAAAAAGGGGGAGAAAACTGGGAAAAATGGGGAAAAATACGGGGGAAAAGGGAAAAAAAGGGGGAATTGGGGAAACTATTGGGAAAAAAGGGGAGAAAATGGGTAAAAATAGGAAAAAAAAATGGGGGGAAAGGGGAAAATTGGAAAAAAGGGCAAAACTTGGGGAAAAGGGGGAGAAATTGGGGAAAAAGGGGAAGAGAATGGGAAAAATAAGAGGGAAAAAAGGGGCAATTGGGAAAAATTAGAAAAAAGGGAGGAAAATGGGGAAAAAAGGATTGAAAATTGGGAAAGAAGGGGGGAAATTGGGAGGAAAAGTGGGGAAGGTGGGAAAAATAGGAAAAAAGGGGAATGGGGGAAAAATTGGGGGAAAATGGGGGAAAAAGGGGAAAGAAAGGGGAAAATGGGAAAGTTGGGAAAAATAGAGGGGAAAACATTCGGGAAGAAAGAGAAAAAATGGGGTAAAAAAGGGGAAAAAAGTGGAAAAATAATTGGAAAAAAGCGGGGAGGGAAAAAACAGGGGGAAAATAGGAAAAAAGGGGAGGAAAGTTGGGAGAATTCCTGGAGTTGAACTCGGGGTTCTGGAACGTTCCAGGGCTGGCGGCGGCGCTGCTGGAGGCAGGCTGGGAAAAAAGGGAAAAAATGGTGGGAAAAAGGGAATAAAATGGGGGGGAAAGAGAAAAAAGGGGGGGAAATAGGGGGGAAAGGAAAAAAAAGGGGAAAATCAGGAAAAATGAGAAAAAGGGGTAAAAAACTGGGGGGAGATGGGAAAAAGGGGGAAAAATTAGGAACAAATGGGAAAAAATTAGGAACAAAAGGGGAAAAAAGGGAAAAATTGGGAAGAAATGGGAAAAAAAATAGGAACAAAGGGGGAAAAAGGAAAAAATTGGGGAAAAAATTAGGGGAAAAAATGGGGGGAAAAAAGTTTAAAAAATGAGGGGAAAATGGGGAGAAAAAATGGGAAAATGTGGGAAAAAGGAGGAAAAAGTGGGAGAAAGGCAAAAAATAGTGGGAAAAAATGTGGAAAAAATTAGGGGAAAATTGGGGGAAAAGGGGAAAATAGTGGGGAAAATAGGAGAAAAAATTAGGGGGAAAATTGGTGGGAAAAAAAGTAAAAAAATGAGGAAAAATGGGGAGAAAAAAGGGGAAAATGTGGAAAAAATGGGAAAAAATTGTGGAAAAAATTGGAGGAAAAAAGGGGGGGAAAGGGGAAAAAGGTGAGGAAATTGCTGAGGTGAATCTCGGGGTTCTGGAACGTTCCAGGGCTGGCGGCGGCGCTGCTGGAGGCGAGGTGGGAAAAAAAGGGAAAAAATGGTGGAAAAAAGGAATTTTTTTGGAGATTTTTCTGAGGATTTTAAAAATGGGGGGAAAAGGGGATAAAAAAGTGAGGGAAATAGAGGGGGAAAGGGAAAAAAATGGGGAAAATAGGGAAAAAATGAGAAAAAAATGGGGAAAATTGGAGAAAAAATTAGGGGAAAATAGGAAAAAAAGTTAAAAAAATGGGGAGAAAAATGGGGAAAAAATGGGGGAAAAAAAGGGAAAAATAGTGGAAAAAATTAAAGGGAAAAAAAAAGGGGGGGGGAAATGGGAAAAGAGGTTGGGAAATTCCTGAGGTGACTGGGGGGTTCTGGAACGTTCCAGGGCTGGCGGCGGCGCTGCTGGAGGCGAAGCTCGCGGGGCAGGAGAAGCTTCGGGGCCGCCGGGTTGGGAAAAAAGGGAAAAAATGAAGAAAAAAGGGGAAAAATTGGAAGAAGAAGGGGGAAAGTGGGGGGGAAAAAAAAGGGGGGAAAAAAGGGGGAAAA